TCCTTGGTTTAAAAACAACAAGAAAAACAAAAACAAACTCAAAACTATTTTATTTTTCACATTTATATCAGCAATTCATCTGGAAATGATTTTTGTATATGGTGTGAGGTAAGATTAAGATACCTTTTCTCTCCTCACAGATACCAAACTGACCAACACCATTTCTTTGACCTTCCTTTCCCCATTGTACTATGTCTCTTTTATCATAAAGCAAGTGACGGTTTACATATCAGTCTTTTTCTGAACTATTTTTATTTCACTGCTGCCAATACTATACTATCTTAATCTTTTTTTCATACTTTTAAAAGTATTACTGCTAGGTATTTGGTGGTGTAAGTCCCACAGATTTTGTCCTTTCATCTTTTTGACTGCCTTGGCTTGATCTGGCATTTGAATCTGCATTTCAGTTGTGCATCCTTTGATGATTACTGAGCATTTTTCCTCATATAAACTAGCCAGTTCAAGTTCTTTGGACATGAGGTAGTTTGCCTTTTTCATACTGATTTGATCTTTCTGTATTAGGAAAGCTGTCTTTTACCTGTTAAATCCCGCCTATTTTTAAAAAAATGTATTAAAAAGTATCAATTTTATTTTCCCCTCCTGGTTTTTGGTTTCATGCTTAGAAAAATCTTCTCCATGCCAAGATGGTAGTACAATGTTGGCAAGATAAGTCGCAGAGGTATTCACCTCTTTATAAATTTTTAAAAATGCTTTACATTTTTATAATTTGTAAATTACCTTAAAAACAATTTGTTTCAAAGCTGGGCACAGTGGTACACGACTGTAATCCCAGCAACTCGGGAAGCTGAGGCAGGATTGCAAATTCAAAGCCAGCCTCAATGACTGAGCAAAACCCTGTCCCAAAAAATTAAAAAGGCTGGGCTGTAGATCAGTGGTTAAAAGCCCCTGGGTTCAATCCTGGTACCAAAAAAAAAAAAAAAAAAACTTTCAAGAAGACATTTCAGCCATTTCCCACTGTAAAATATACTGACCCAATAATTTATTCTAACACTTCCAAGGTTTCAATAGCCATATTATTTATTTATTTATTTATTTTTGAGAGAGAATTTTAATATTTATTTTTCAGTTTTTGGCGGACACAACATCTTTGTATGTGGTGCTGGGGATCGAACCCGGGCCACACACGTGCCAGGCAAGCGTGCTACCGCTTGAGCCACATCCCCACTCCTCAATAGCCATATTTAAATCTTTCAATTCATGTGGAATTCATTTTGGTACATAGTATGATACCTCCAAATTTGTGACAATCATTTTTTGCAAACTATACCCTGGTTGTTAACTCTTTCCTTCTGTTCCCAGAGAAAAGATGTATTTCTTTCCCCAATGTCAAATTAAGACTAATTTCTTAATTTATGAATGATGAAAGACCAAAAAGGTCCAAGACTCATTATTTAATGCTTCTGCTCCTTAATCTATTTTCTGCCTAACTAGTATATTCAATCTCTCACTCTCTTTATCTCCTCCCTTCCCTTCTTCAGGAGCAGTCAACATTCCTATTTCTTGACCTTCTTTTCATTGAACAGCCTTCTGTACTAGTATTTTGCTACTATGCCTTCATCTGAAACTACTGACCAAAATTAATATAGTGACATTGGAATACACCAATCAAGAATATAGGGAGGGGTTGGGGTAGCTTAGTGGTAGAGCACTTGCCTAGCATGTGTGAGGCACTAGGTTTGATCCTCAGCAACATGTAAAAATAAATAACGGTATTGTGTCCATCTACAACTAAAAATATTTTCAGGGCTGGGGTTGTGGCTCAGTGGTAAAGTGCTAGCCTAGCATGTGTGAGGCCCTGGGTTCGATCCTCAGCACCACATAAAAATAAATAAAAAAATAAAGGTACAATACCTTTGTGTCCAACTACAACCAAAAAATAAATATTAAAAAAATGTACTTTTAAAAAAATATGGGGGGGGGGGGCTGGAGTTGTGGCTAAGTGGTAGAGTGCCCACCTAGCATGCAATAGGCACTGCATGTTCGATCCTCAGCACCATATAAATGTAAAATAAAGATATTGTGTCCACCTAAAACTTAAGAATACAATTTAAAAAAAAAATAGGGGGGTTGGAATTGTGGGTCTGAGGTGGAGCACTTGCCTTGCACAAATGAGGTACTTGGCTTGATTCTGAGCACCACATAAAATAAATAAATAAAATAAAGGTACTGTGTCCATCTACAAGTTAAAAAAAAAAAAAAACACTATACACACACAAGGATATTTCCCCCCAGAGGGAAATTTTTAAAAATATTTTTAATTTATCAATGGACCTTTATTTCATTTATTTATATGTGGTACTGAGAATTGAACCCAGTGCCTCACACATGTAGCCAAGCATTTTACCTCTGAGCCACAACCCCAGACCTGAACATATGGAAATTTTTTATTCCAAAAATACTACGGTATTTTGTCTATGACTATGCCTATTGATGGAACTAGGGATTATAGAAGAGATCTGATTTTTTCTTTGGCTCTTAAGTGGAGAAAACTGTAAACAATTCATTTTCTAAAACTTCTACAAGTTGGGCAGGGAATGAGTATCTGTATTTATGTGTGGACTTAAAGTGCTTAAAAAATGTTTTCTGTGTGAGTACTGTATTTAAATATCCTTCTTATATCTCCATTAAAGAATGGAATCCTGAGCTGGGAATAGTGGTGCAGGCCTGTAATCCCAGTGACTTGGAAGGTTAAGGCATCAAGTTAGAGGTCACCCTTGGCAAATTAGTGAGGCCCTATGCAACTCAGTGAGACCCTGACTCAAAATTTTAAAAAATAACAATAGCAAAAAAAGACTGGAATACTGATTGACCTTCTCTGTATTTCTATAGGTGTTCATAAAAAATTAGTTCTATAATATCTTCCATTAAAATAAACTACTACCTGAAGATACAAATTCTTTCCAAGCAAAAAAGCAAAGTACTCAGAAACTAAACCCTAGATTTGAGAACTTGACTCAATTACTTAACTTTCTCACCTATAAAACAGGGTCATACTCTACTTCACACAGTTTAATTGTGAGGCTAAGACAATATAGGTCAAAACACTTAACCCAGTTCCAGGCACATATCAAATACCTTCCTTCACTTTAGCACAGTACCATATTCACAATAATATACAACCACTAAGGAGTAAAGTGTGACTGGCATGGAAGTGCACACCTGTAATCCCAGGGACTAGCCTGTAATCGTATAGCAACTTCAAGGCCAATTTAGGCAATTTGGCAAAACTCTGTCTAAAAAAATACAAAGGACTGTAAAGGATAGTGGTAAAGCACCCTGCGTTCAATCCCCAGTTGTTGTTGTTGTTGTTTTTAAGGAGTAAAAGCGTACCAAAAAGAAGCAATTTCAAAACTTTGTGAACTATGTGAGACAGAAAATGTGGCAAAGCACCATCTGTTCATACCAGCTAATAATAATCTTCAAAGGAAAACCTTCAATTAAAAGTAAAAGTTACTAAAAATGCCCAAATATTTTGAAGAAATTCAAATAGCAAAAATAAATTCCCAGTGATTTCCTCTAAAAAGTGTACCAGATTACACATGATTTAATAAAATGGACAGAGACAGCACTCACAAAACTGCAGTTGTCCAGTTTGAGAAAGATCTAATTTGTCCTTGGGGAAGAATTTACCTTAAATGAACAGAACTTCCTTACCTATATATAAAAGTAAACCAATGTATCAAGGAATTTGAAAGGAGGGAAGTTTTCCTCTAAATCCAAAGATAATAATATGCATAGCCAAAATTAACCTTTTCCAAATAATGGGGGGGGACACATTTTAATTGTTAAAATTAGGACAAAGAGACTGGATTTAGCAGAATGCAGTATGCCAGCTGCTAATCCTGAAAAAATATTCCGAGGGTGGAGAAAGAAGGCAATCTTCCCAATAAAACTTCCATAACACACCATACAAATACATGAACATACACATCTGTTAAATATCAGTTTACACTGTTCCAGCCAATTTACAAATCAAGAAGTATAATCAAGAAGTATTTAAGATTTAAAAAAATAAATCCTATCCTACTTCTAGTTACATTTTGCAAGGCAGCTACTGGTGACTAGGGGTTATCCATGCTGATTCAAGGCAAGCACTGAATAATAAATCCAGTGTTCACATTCAAATGTGGAGGGGCAGAGGAAAAGGGAGGCTCCGAGTTCATAAAGTTCTCCTCCCTCTGAAAACACTGCAAAAATTGTCTAAGAACACTTACCCTTGAAACTCCTTGGAGACTTTTTGCTCAGAGATTTTTGAGGGGGAGCGACATAGGAATGCTGCACGATTGCAACTTTCAAATACATAATTTAAATTTCTAAAGTTTTTTTTTTCTTTCAGGAAATTTCACCCCTTCCTTTTTAAAGAGTGGATCAACACTCTCATATTAATAAAAATCCCCAATTCAACACCAAATGTCAACCAAAAAATTCGGAGCTTTAAAGTACATGCAAGTAAAGCACACAGACTATTTCCAATACCCAACTCCCTTCCAATTGGGATCTAAAAGAAGAAAGGAAGGAACGCGAGGCGGGGGTGGGGGTGGGGGGGATACTTGGGAAAGAAGGGCAATGGGGTGAGAAAGTGGAAGGGATGGGGAGGAGCAGAGCAAAAACTCCAGCTGATGCTGATACTTAACTGAAAGAACAGAATGGAAAATATCTGAAAATATAGAAGAGAAGGATGGGACAGAGGCGCAACAGAGGAAGTCCACGCAAAAGGCCTACTCCAGGGGGCCACTGTGTAGAAGGGAACACCAAAATGGGGTAACACTCATTGGGAAGAAATATCAAGGCCCTAAAGTTTAGGAGAGAGAGGATGAGAGGGTGTTTCCTGTATTGGAATCGTGGATACCGCACCAGACGTCTCGGTGGCTAGCCCGCTACGAGGGGTGAGGGGTTAACTGCGGGGGTTCGCAGACGTGGAAGGGGGTGCGGCTCCAGAGGTTGCGGCAGGAGAGCCCGGAGCAGCCAGCGGTCCGTACCTTATAGTAAACATCAAACTGGATGTTCTCGGGCAAGGAGCGGATGTCTCGGCGGGAGCGGATGTAGTTGTCCACGACAGCGGAGATGGCGGTGTTGTACAGAGTCTCTGGGATCCACTCTAGTTCCACGGCCGCCATCTTCCTTCCCTCCTCCGCCTCCTCCGCCTCCTCCTCCCGAAGGCCCCCGCCTCCCTCCGTAGCGAACTCCTCTGCGGCCCCGGAGGATTCGGAGGGGCGGTGGCAGCCACGCGGGCACACGGTAGAGGGGCACTGCAGCCCTGGCTCCTAGGGGGCGAGCTGCAGGGAAGCGGCAGCAGACGCAGGCGCGGGTAGAGAGCGGGACAGGGAGCAGCAGACAACCGGGCCGAAGCCTCACATTCCGGGTTTGAGAGGAACCCGGGTTCCGTCCCAGCGCCGATCTCTGCAGGGGCGGGACTGCGTGTGCGGCGTCATGACGTCAGCGCCACGCCGATGCGCTGGAGGGAAGGAATGCGGCAGGCGGAAAACTTGGGAAGAAAGAGCAACGTCCCTCCCACACACATCCTACTTTTTGAGGGGCCTGGGATGAGGGTAGATGCGAGACTCTGCCCAGGGATAAACTATTACAAGTTTTCAACCCTCCATTATGAATCACTCGAGTCCTTCAGCAAAATTCTTTATCGGGTTTCTTGGACGCGGATCCTTTTGAGTTTCAGGTAAAAGTTTGGATCCTCTCCCTAGAAAAGTACACAGAAATCCATACGTTGAAAATTATGCATTCAGGGAATTCACAAATCGAAATCCTTCCTTAGCCAAAGTCCTAAACCCAAGTTAAGAAACCGCTGTCCAGGAACTAGAGATTATGAGGGAAGGGATTGCTTTTGATTGTATGACCTATTCGCCCCGTTGGAACTTTTATCACTCTTCTTAATCCAAATAAAATTTACAAAAATAAAAAAAGAATAGGAGTCGCTCTAGAAGAATTGGGTAGAAAGATTAGCCTGATTATGGCTGACACAAAGACAACTGTAGTGGTAAGATTTTTAAAAAGACTCATTCGTGTCTATGAGAGGACTTAATGATAGAAATTAATATTTCAATCTTCTTCCAGGATTAACAGTTCGACTTTAAAGGATTATCAAATAAATGGGAGTCCTTGTTTCAGCTGCTTTCCTTCCTCTTCCTGAAAGTCTGCTATTAATGTAGTTTAATTTTATAAGTCTGTGATTTGAAGAACTTGCAACATCTTTCTGTTGTAGGAATTTAACAAGGAAATTATTGCCATTGCTGTGGATGACACTATCTCATAGTCACTCTATAACAATGTAAATACTGAAGACAGCAATAATAATAACCTGATATTTAGCTGTAAAGGAAATGGAAGGGGTTCTTTAAATTTACCCTTCATCCAGGTATTTCAGTTAATAACAGTGGTTAGATAACTTAGTGAAAGAAAGAAATATGCCATGCCATAGCACAGGCCTGTAATCCCAGCTACTCTGGAGACTAAAGCTGGAAGATTACAATTTGGAGGCCAGCCTGGGCAATTTAATGAGAGACCCTGTCTCAAAAAAGATTGGAGGGTGGGGGTGGCCAGGGAAAGCAGCATATAACTCAGTGGTATAGCACCTCTGGGTCCAATCCCCAAGTACCAAAAAAAAAAAGAAACACATTTAGTCTTCAGTCTATACTAGTTATTACTTTATAATCCTAATTTTATGAACCTAAAACAGATGGTTGGCAAATGTAGCAAGAAAAAAATTATAAATGCCAAATTACATTTTAATTTCAGATAAACAAGTAGTTTTTAAATATAAATATTTGCATTATGTTAAGCCAAATAAGCCAAAATTAGAAGGTTGAGGGGCTTAAATTTTCTCATATGTGGAAGCTAGAAAAGGAAAAGAAAGGTGTGAGGGAATGTAGCTCAGTGGTAAAAGTGCTTGCCTATCATGCTGTGGGCTCTGGGCTCAAAAGAGAGAGAGAGAGAGAGAGAGAGAGAGAGAGAGAGAGAGAGAGAGAGACATTGTGAACAATGGGCCTCTTAATCCTGCTTTGAGACTGAGAGTTATTAAAATGTGTGAGATGGACTTAGAGACACTGGACAAGATGAGACAGACCAGCCAAAATGATGAGGCCACTGAGAAACAATTTATCGTGAGGGTTAAATGAGTCAGGACTATTAGACTGGCATCTATATGGAGGGTCAAGGGTCAAATGGGGAGAATTGACTCCTGAATTAGAATCCATCAGGGGGCTGGGGATGTGGCTCAAGCGGTAGCGCACTTGCCTGGCATGCATGTGGCCCGGGTTCGACCCTCAGCACCACATACCAACAAAAATGTTGTGTCCGCCAAGAACTAAAAAATAAATATTAAAAAAAATTCTCTTTCTCTCTCTCCTCTCTCACTCTCATAAAAAAAAAAAAAAAAGAATCCATCTGGAGGCTTAGATCCTTGAGAACTGGTGAAATGAGAAACCAGTAGAAATTAGACCATTTTTATTGTAGACTGTCCTCAACTGATGGAAGAAAGGTTGTCCTTTGCACTCCAGAAAATTAGGTCTGCCAGAGCTCAGATTTGAACTCAGTCGTTATACTGTGCTGTTGTTCATATTTTGAACTACAGCATAGAATCTGAGTTTCTGGTGGTCAGGACCAGATCAAAAAAGGGCTTATTATGCTGCAAGTGGCCTTGGACTTTATCTTGGAGACAATATGGAAGTAAAAGAATCAGACTTGTGTGTCAGAAACATGACAAGTTAGGTGTGGTGGTTTATGCTTGTAGTCCCAGGTACTGAGGAGGCTGAGGCAGGAGGATCATTTGAACCCAGGAGTAAGGAGACACTACCTCAAAAAAAAAAAAAAGAAAAGAAAAAGAAGCCAGGCATGGTGGCACATGCCTATAATACAGTGGCTCAGGAGGCTAAGGCAGGAGGATTGTAGGTTCAAAGCCAGCCTCGGCCACTTAGTGAGGCCCTAAGCAGCTTAGTGAGATCCTGTCTCAAAATAAAATGAGGTTGGAGATGTGGCTCAGTGGTTAAGTCACCTCTGGGTTCAATCTCCAGCACCACATACAAAGAAAAAAGAAAAAAGAAAGAAAAAGGAAGGAAGATGGCAATAATCTATGACTAGCAGAGAGAACCAGAAGATTTAGAATTATTTATTCCCAGCTCCAGAAGTAAAGAATATACAAGAGGCCTGCTAAACTATTAAGCTGTCATGGCTTTTTTTAAATTTATTTTTTATTATTTTTTAGTTATAAATGGACACAATATCTTTATTTTGTTTACTTAAATTTACGTAGTGCTGAAGATTGAACCCAGTGCCTCACATGTGTGAGTGAGCCACAACCATCAACTGCCACTGAGCCACAACCCCAGCCCCCTGTCATGGCTTTCTATATATTTTTGTGCACAAAGGAACTTTGTGTTACGCACTTGCACACTCCACTAAATTCCTCCTGGTATCTTCAAATTTGGCAGGAGACCCTTGCATGATACAGATATATATGAGGACATGTTCCTGGTCCAAAAGGATTCCTAAGGATCATAAGAGGCTATGATATCCATTGGGATTTTAAATGGCAGTTTCTTTGAAGCTGCCATCATTGAGAAATGGAACCTAAATACTTCCACTTGAATCTGAGGGGTTCTGACTGTATTGACCAATGGAGTGCAGCAGAAATGATGCTGCATGACTGCTGGAATTAGATGCGAATGGCCAAGAAGAGTTCACCTTGTTTTCTGAAATACTCTGATCCCTAAGGCACCATGTAAAAAATACTGAGTATCCTAAGGCCACCATCCACTGAGGCAACACAAGCCAAATGGAAGGCTACATGGAAGCATTGGTCCATAGTCTCAGAATCATTTTGGCCCAGCTACCAGATGTTTTGAACAAAGAATCTCTGAATAATTCCAATTCTAAGACATTTTTGTCACCCTCAGTTTTTCCAGATGAGAGCATTATGGAGCTGACACAAACATCCCTACTGTGCTCCATCTGAATTCCTGACCCACAGGGACATTATAAAATACTTGTTCATTCATCACTAAGGTTGAGGTCATTTATTATGCCATAGTAGAAAAAAGGAACACCCCAGTTATCCAGTCCCCTAAAGTTTCTAGAAACCCATAACCTGGGCTGGGATTGTACCTCTCTAGTAGAGCACTTGCTCAGCATGTGTGAAGCACTGGGTTTGATTCCCAGCACCACATACAAATAAATAAAGGCCCATTGACAGCTAAACAAATATTAAAAAAAAAAAAAACCCATCTCCTTAAACTCCATAATGAAACTGTTCCCTCTCAAGTCTGTATATATATTACTAAGCATATTATTTTATTCATGAAAATAATATAGTTCTTTGCCTGTGGTTTCTTAACTTTCCGATGGTCATTCTGTCACACTAAAAGGCTGAGCCATGGGATATCAAGATGGAGACAATGATATTTGTCTTAAATCTGAAGAGTCTTTTTCGGAGTCCTTTAAACCTAAGTCTATGAATTATATTCAATACCCACACATTAACAACCCCAGACTAACGGTCACATGGATCTCCTAAATAGGGTCTTCCAGGTGTACCTAAGACATCACAAATCATATAACAAAAATGATCCATGTAACTTGCAGCCAACAAAGATCAGAGCAAGTCTTTGTCAACAAGCTTTGGTCATGTGGGAGAAACAATACAGAGAGAAAATCCAGCTTAATTTCAACCCTCATCCCTATATCTGTTTAAAGATTCATGGACATGTTCATAGTTACTGTTCATGTTGTTTTGACTTCTTTAAATTCACCCTGCTTAGATGTGGCATTCCATAATCAAGATAGTTAAGTTACCTGATAGGGTTTTTTCTCATTGTTTGTTGTTGTTGTCATTTTTTTGTTTTTGTTTTTGTTTTTGTTTTAACTCCATGTCTTCATTAACAAATATACTATCCCCATTTGGACCTACAAAGCAATGGAAAATATAGCCTATGATTTGCCAGTCCTTGTTTTGAGGAAGCCCACCTGGAATACATACTGCATTCTTATCCTGACACTCTGAAATAATGGGTATAAAAGGACTGAGTGGGTTTTAAATTTGTGGTAACAGTGTTGGTCCAATGTAAGGCTTAAGAATCATTCTTGGAAAGATAGACACAATAACAATGCAAAGTCAGAAATACTGTGATAGAGTTTTACCAGGATATTGTAGGAATTTCCATGGATAAGATAATGACTTGGGTTTGGATGTAATAATGCAGCTCCAAGTAGGTCAATTCTCACAGTATTTTTAGTTGCAATGAAATTCTCAGGAAGATAACACTGGAACAGATTTACTTGAGCAATCATAAGTGAGTTCATTTTCATTTACCTTGATATCATACCTGGTTAAAATTTCTTGGGAAATGTATCAGAATACCTGGGAAAATTGTGAATCAAACTCATAGTTCTTCATTTGTGACAGTGAAAAACTAACTT